CACAAAACTAATTGTGTGAAATTGTGTGCAAAAAATTTGCAAAATAAATTTTCATATTTCTCAAGTTTGGGAGGGAGGCTGGTGTGACGTCATGCCAACTGTCCGAAAGGTTTTTGATATAATTTAGCCCCTTTGTTCATACAATTTCTGGGCAACTGCGTACAAATTCATATAAATGACGTACTAATTGATAGAATAATATAATTTCCATATTTTAAAAAAGGGGTGTCGGAGTGATGTACGTGTCATGATTGTGTGTGCGACGACGATCAGACGATGCAACAGTACTGCAGACTGCAGTTGGCGTAAGAGTAATGGAGGTTGTAAAGATGTGTGTACAGGTACGGCAAATAACAAGTGTCGCTACGCAAATACACGGAAAACTGAATACCTCTAAAAACAATTTAATTGATAAATTTCGGAATTTTCTCATTAGATGGCTATTCTGTACATCGAGTGCTTTCGTTTAAAAAAATAATCATGAAAATCGGAATAGTAGAACTTCTGATATGACTTGACAAAAAATCGTCTCACGTTTTAATATAGATATAGATTATTATTCCATTGCAAATAAATACTGTTTTGTTTGTATCGACTGTGATGTGTTTTGTGTACAATAGTTTTTATAATATTGACATAGGGAAACAAGGTTTTCTACTTTTAACAACTTCCTGCCATTATTCGTAAGCACTATATATTTACATGCAAGTGAAGTGAAAGTCCTTTTTGGGATGCATTTGAATATTAATTAAGCGTATATAATTATTCAATGTCTTAAAAAAATAATCCTTTTTCATTTTATGTTTCAATACATGTTATAGGTATATCCATACTTGATAATATACTCATATTTAGGATTATGAAAGAGAATGCGTAAAAAATTCTCGAATGTGTTGTATGGTCGTCATCATCACTGCTGCAGGCTAACATATAGGAGAAAATATTTTTATCACATAATAATCCGTATAGGCTGTTTTATTTTTTAAAATCTAAAATTTGTTAAACTTACTGAAAACGTTTTAAATTGAATGTTTTACAGTTTTGGTGTAACTTAAACTTTGTTTTAATTGGATATATATTTGTATCATCATAAAAGTTAACAGATAGGTACTATTACTCTTAATCTAAAATTTTAATACATTATTTTGAATTTTTGTTCCAAAATATAATCAACATTATTGATTTATAAAAATCTTAAGCTGTTATTGATAACACATAAGATTATTTAAAACTAGACAATTGTAGCTGGAAAAAATATAATACTTACATTTATTATATGATAATGAAGAATATTAATAACTGTAGATTTTAGAATTTATATTTAACGTGTATACATAAATAAACATACATAAATTTATAATTACTAATTTAAACATTTTAAGTTTTTTTCTTTTTGTTAATTACTTGATTTTTTTTTCTGTTTGTTATAATTTTATTTTATTACATTTAAATTGTTATTTATTATGTACTCTTACCTTGTATACTGTAATTGAGCCTATGGGCGTTTATTTATATATATATGTATATATATATATATATATATGTATAACATATATATATAAATAATAAATGTTTACTTATTATACTGATAATAAAATTAATATGTGGTATAATTTAAATTTAATTTAGTGTTCACGGTAATATAGTCTTATAACTTCATATTATATTTGAGATTCGATGCTTAAAAATTAACTAAAATGGCAAGTCCTTAACTAATAACAAACGTCCAGTAATAGCTTGGGAGTCCGCGATACTCGTGCTAGGGGTTCGTGATGATCTCGTCTTGGGTTTTGAAGTGTGTAAATACAAATTTTGTGCGAAGTATGATCGTTCGATGCTACGGCGACTAATTTGAAATTATTTTTATAAAGGTCTATAAATATTAAATACACATTATATGCTTGACATTCTTTATCTGAATTATGTAAGATATTATGTAGCTAATTATGTTATTTGTATTATTATAGATATTTTTATATGCATATGTACAGAAAAAGAACTTTTGCGTAATTCAAGTATGCTGTTATTAGAAATTATGTGAAAAGTCGAATTATTGAAATTAATAAACAATTTTGGAAGTAATTTTTTGGAAATAGAATCAAGATTTATAAATGTTATTTTTTTACTCATAAACTCGGGAGTCCATCATGTTTGCAAAGATTTTTTTTAAGTGCTCTTGTGAGACAAAATTTTGTAAATTGTTGATTAAATGGTTGCATTATATTATTTAAATTTGGGTTTGTGAAAATTTCAAAACATTGTAAAATATCATTTAGTCTATCAAAATAAATTAAAATAAATTAAAACTCTTTAATATTTGTTATTTCTGCATATATTTCAACGCAGAAGGCTCAAGTTAAGATGATATTTATGTTAAAAACGCAGTATGTAAAGTGTTAAATATAATAAATAAAGTCTCAGTAGGTATATATTATTTTATTTTAATTGATAAATGTACCTATTTTATTTTTAATATTTAAACAAGAGAAAAATGTTTGCCACCAATCACGCACAATCAAAGGATTTATATAATATTATAGTTCTTTATAAATGGAAAAGAAAAAAATTTAACGTTTAAACAATATAATATACTATCATGCAAAGTTTTTGAAGTGGATATAAAATTATATAGGTATATTGTATATAAATTAATCCCGACAGAGTTAAATACCGAAACAATTATATTTTATACGTGTACGAATATATCATGGCTAACATAGGTATTATATATTATTATAATCGTAAAAAAGCATATTGTCGTGTTCGTTGTAATTTGTACCCCGGAGACTTGTTTTATAACATTCTAAAACCAGGTCGTTTTAGACCTATAGTTGAATATAATAATATTGACATACTATAATAGATATATACCACAGTTATTTTTCACATGACCGAGCGTTTGTGGTTTTTAATTAATTTGAATTTGAATTTGCTTAATATAATATTTGATTTAAAAAGCTTATAATATATTTTATGTGGGTATATAAAAGTTTGTAACGTTATTAATATAGCATTCATAGATTATATGGACAATTTAATAAAATTATCATAATAATATTTACAATGCTTATTAATAAGATCATTACAATTATAGTAATATTATAATAATTATAGTATTTAATTATTCTATAAATATTATTTCATATAAATTAAACGAAAAATAGATAGCCTTTAAACCAAATATTTTATTATGCTTATTTGTTTAAGTGTCGTAGTAAAATATCTATACGTAAAAATATCGATGTATAATTTGTATGTATTATAAAGCAGAGGAAATAACACATACTGATTTTAAAGCAAATTATAAACTGTCAAGTATTTATATTTTTATTGAAGTATATTATGTATAGACCTAGCTAATCAGTCAACCAATAGAATTTGGATAGTATAGGTATAACTCATTTTTAGAATTTTTCATTAGTTTTTCAGAAAATTCTTCACAAAACATGAAAAAAAATAAAGTAAATTTTAATAGGCGTTATTAAACATTTTTATACATGAAATTAACATACGTATAAGACAATATATTTTGATTATCAAGAAGACAATAAAATACAAATATAATTAAACTAACATTTATCGATTAAGTTTTAATTTGTATAATTTCGATTAATTGTTATTAATTTAATTTCTTAACAATTTCACATAGCATATTTCACAATACAGTTGCAATGGAATCAAATATTGACAAATAAATAAATAATAATTTGTTAACCAATTGTGTGTTAACTGTTATAAGATAAACCACATGTATGGAAAAAAACAGAATTATAAGAATGAGTAGAAAATAACAGCAATTGCTAAAAACATATGTGCATGTATAGGTATAAGATTCAATGTCTTTCCGTGTAGTGGAGAAAATATTAAGTTTATTTAATCGCGTTTGATGAAATCGAGTTCTACACTTATATATTATTATTATTTTATGTTTGGAATTATATATATATATATATATATATATATAAATATGATATAGTTCTTTAAAACCAAATACAATTATTTATTATTTTGTTCATATTAATTATTTTTGTTGAATTATTTTTATTAAAAATTTAAATTTAATTAATGTATCTTTTTTGTCCATGTCGATTAATTAAAGTTAATATATGTGTGTTTTTATTCTCAAAAATTCAACAGCCATTATTTTTTTAATTTTAATTATTTGATTTGAGTTGTATTAAAAAGTATGTTGTTTGAATTGATTTGAATAATCTTTAAAGCATACCTGTTATAAAAAATGTATTTTTATTTATTAAAAATTGTAATGATACATATTGATACAACAGCTATATAATAGTGGAAAACATATAAATTAATCTACTGTGATTTTAGTAATTGTATGTATACACAATACGTAGTTATAAAAAAAGGATTATGATATATTTTGATTAATTATCATATCGCAGTGCAATATACATTTAATTATACAATTGGTTGATCCAGAGTAGGTTTTATTTGTAAGACAAATATATCAACAACACTTCGTGTCGGGTTGTCTGGAAAATCATTTGAAAACCGCATATTTACGAAAATTCATTGACGCGTTGTAAATCACAATCGATCTGCGTTTGTCCGCAAGTTCAATTTACACACGAAATACTAAATTAAAAACAAACAAGTAAAACACTTTGGTATATGGTAATAATAATTATAATGACAATTAATAACGATATTTCATCCTATCGTATGATTACATCTGTATTAAATTAATATACACAAAAAATATATTATGTCGATAGCAATATTCACAATTTACGAACCGTTAAACCCCGGCTGGAAAACTCCGGGCACATGTATCGGTAATTATTACTTCTTCTTACTACTACTACTACTATTATTATTATTATTACTGTATTCCGCCACCAACATTACTGGTATACGACGGCCGTCTTGTATCTGCTTAATATTATTACGTGTCTAGTTCATTGGCGTAGAAAACCGGACAGGTGAATACAGAACGAGAGGAGAGGTAAGGTGAGTGGCGCGTCGAGCTCTCTCCGTCATCGACTGCAGTCAGTACCGCAGACATATTCGTGTCCGTCCGATCATCCGTCCGCGTACGCGCACACGTTCGTCCTATAATTGTAATACGTGGTTATTAGTGAGTACTTGTCGCGAAAAAACTGTTGAATATTTACCCGCGTATACCGTATTATTTATACTTATTAGAAGACTTGAAAAATTCACGTTCATTTACGTTTTTACGGGTTATTTCGTTCATACCTCCGAAGTTTCTCTCTTAGAGTTCGTTAGTCTATGACCGTCTTTTGTTTTTGTTTTTTAGCGACCACCTGCTGGAGAGTCCAGAAGGCGTCTGTTTATAATAATAATAATATAACGTGTTTTTGCGCGAATATATAACAATACGTGGTGTGTTTGTGTGTGCGTGTGACATGGATAAATAATTTACACATAGTTTTGATCGAGAAACGAAAAATAAAGATATTACATTAACGGCCACGCGCGGTGAATTTACGACAATACAGCAAGGTAAGATAATATATTATATTGTATCTATATGAAAACGCCAAAACCTGAATTTCGATAATTAAAAATATTACGCAATAAAATAATAATTTTGTAATGGATTTGTTTAATTCAAAACGTAATAGTTTTTTTTTTTGACTGATGTATACAATACATATTATGTCGGTAGGTAGGCACTGTAGATACGTATAATAGCGGGTAATGATAATTTTACCTGTAAAGTTGTTTTGTAGAATCAAATAATTGGCTCGTCTTCATAATATTTTATTTTAATACCTATAGCAGAAGTACGAGTCAGAAATATGTCAGACAAAGCTACTGTTCGTTATGACGGCTATGTACTGCGTCGACTCAGGACTGTATTTATGACTATCTTCGAACATTGCGAGAAATGGGTTCCGCCCAAAGTGTGTTATTTGTCAGACAAGGGGTAATCATAAACAAAACTGTGAAATTATAATAATATCCTTCTACGTTGAATGATATCTTATGGATATATTTATACCTATATGTTTAAAAGATATTGTTAACGGCCGTATTTTCATTTATATTTTGTACGGAGATGAGGAAATCCCTGAACTGTTTATCCCCAAGTATAAATTGTCTTGAAGTAGGAGGTGCAAACCGCATCGAGTTCAAGGTCGGACTACATATTATATTATGCACCTGTTATAATGCAAGAATATAAAAAGTATTGATAAAAGTAATAAATTCCTATATGCCTTTTAAATATGTATTATACAATATCATAAACTGTACACCTCAAGACTTGTGACCCAAAGTGCATGGGCATGGTGTGTCCAGGTTTCTTGAATGGAATCAGAATAATCCAAATATTATCTGCTCCAATTAATTTAGAATAATATTACATATTATGTAGATAAAGGTTTTCTGAACATTCACTGTGATTATTTTACTCCGGAAATAATAAATTTGTGATTAGAAATAAAGGTGACATCAATCGTGGACATCAATGACCGTATATGTATTTTGTGCATATAATCCGTGGAGTCAACGCACTCAAAGTTATAAATACGCGTTTCGCCACCAAACATTTCAATATTTTATATGTACATAGGAAATAGGAACCTTAATCATTTCGATAAAATACTGTCGTCAACCCACCATACGAGAATAATTTATTTATTCAACTACAGTTGATTTTCACGTAGGCGTTTAGAGAGAGGAAGAGAAAGAGAGAGAAGGATAAAGACAGAGACAAACGACCGAATAATTTTACATTGTTTTAAAATGTATATTTATTTACAGATTACTAATTAGTAATTACTATACGTAATATTGTGTTAGGTATATCTGCGTATATTAAGTGCAAATAAGAAAATTTAATACCAAGATATTAAACGTGGGATTTAATATAAAAGAAATAAAATAATAAAAATGTATAATTCATCATAATTTAATAAGTATATGATGAAAAATGATAATTTATTATTTATATAAAATAAGGTTTTTGAAAATGTATTTACTATTGCTTATTTATATACTTAAATATTTACTAAACTTTAGTACCTAATTAAATTTAGATTATTCGAAAAAAGAATAATTATTTAAATGAGTAGTTATTTTTCTATAAATGAATGTTGCCAATAATAGATAGTTAATAATTTTCTTTTTATATTCTAACAGTTTCGTTTCGATATTTTTAAATTTAATCATTATTATTGATATAATTTAATATTTATTTTCTTAAAATATAGTCATATAGATAAACGTTTTAGATTCATCTTAAAAATTTCTAATCGTATAAAGTGTGTTAGGCAATTTTATTAAACATTAAATTTGTTTGGTACGTCAATAGTACCTTATATTATATCCAATTTATTAAGTATGATTGGGTTAATCATAATTTATAATTATGCATACACTGAAGAAGGTAATGCATTAAACATTTTAAGCAATAAGTAGTGAGAAGGTTAAATATTTTTAAATAGCGTATATACAACAAAATATAATCGTTTATAAATAATTGTATGATAATAATAAATGAGAAATTTAAAAAGTAGTAAATTATAAATAAGTATAATTTTTGCATACGAATGTGTGAAAAATGAAGTTGGAATATTTAAAATTTTGATATTGATTACGTATTTAGCGTTAATAGTATAAATGTGTTTTTGTGTATTCAACGTATGTATAAATAAATTATATTGATTCACTACGTAGGACGAGGTATTACATTTCGATTTGACGAAGAAAGATGAAAATTATAAGTATTTAGTAGGCATCTAATAATGATTACTTAAACTGTAAAAAATATTTTATTTTCATGTAAACAGCACGATAATTAAAAAAAAAAACAAAAATTTAAGTACACAATATATTTTAAAACTATTTGATCGAGCTAAAACCAAAAATCGTTTTTAAATATGATATTATGTAGCAAGTAAATCATAATAATATAATGATAAATAAATTATAAACGTACCTATAAGTTACAGCTAAATTTGACGAAAAAAAAGTATTATTGAAAATCAACTGAGTAATTTGTAGCAAATCTTATAAACAGTGGACGAGTGTTAAAAATCTTATGCGTCGTTATTATGTTAAGGATTTTTAATTAAACTAAATACATATACAGCAAATATGACTAATGAAATTTAAATTGAATCTATTATTGGACGATTATTATACATACTATAGTCTTTGTTAATTGTTCGTTATTATTATTTATTTTTTTACCAACACTTGCGCTCAGTGTTTTTTAAACTTAATATTTTTACGGAATTCTGCTGGACGGAGACATAGTGAATTGTTGTCTATACAAGGCGATCTGGAACCAGTTTTTAGCACGTTCGCCCACTATTATATTGCAAGAAGCTCGATCCATTCTCTTCGTCCCCAAGTGTCCGTTGGTATCTGTACGCAAGATATGTTTAATATTCGTATATCCATGTGTTTATAATAATGCCGTAATACCTGTAGGCGTTTCCTCTCCAGTCGGATCACGACCATGAATAACGAAATAAAAAAAGACGTGTTATTTATTAAAAAAAAAAGTAATATGATAATAATAATACCTATTATATTGATATTTTTCATAATATTGTGTGAAGGTGTAGACGTAATGGGGTGAAAATATGGTAGTTTTATTTAGATCGAAAATAATTATGAAACTAAGAAATTGTGTGTAAAATTTAAGCATTCGAATTGACGAAATATAAAACAATATAATATATCATTAGAAGTACTATGATAAGAAGAGCGTGCGCGTGTGACTTAAGGTTACGTGGGATTTTAATTTTATATAAAAGAACGGGACTTTAAATACCTCTGACTGCGGTCGTGAACGCGAATTGGTTGTGTGAAAAATCATAATATATATTATGTACGAGTAGTTGGCGTTTTTGATATTATTGTGATAATGCGTTAAGAGAGAATCTTTATAATGCTATCCAAAATGAGAGAAAGGATACAAAATATACATGTATATTATGTAGTAGGTACTCTACAATTGTTTTATAACGGATAAAAGTAAAAAGAATATTAGGTATATGTTCTGTTCGATTCTTATTAAATTTTTAATTCCACGCGAGTCAATATACACTTGCAAAATATGTCATATGTTTTTTCAGTTCATAATGGTTTGTGTAGTAGTGTGCACAACATAATATAATTTTATATAGGTAATTATATCAGACTGAAATTTTAAGTTTCGATTCGCGGGGTGGGTTAGGAGGTCGTGGGTGAACTACTGTAGTCGTCACTGCAAATTTATAATGAGTTAGGAATCACAATTTAAATGGCATTTTTATTATTGTTCCTAGTATATATTTTTTTTGCACAATACATAATGTCGGTGGGTAATGGGTATATTCAGATAGGTACATTATGACTATATACATTTACGTGAAAACCTACTTAATAGACGATTGTCGCAGATTTCATTAAAATGGTCGCGAAATGCCGTGGAATTCGGGTTGAATGTGTTTATGCTTAATGTGCACATTATGTAACTAAAATCTCGAGCACAACATTTAAAAGTGATAATGTGTAGTAGTGTCGATTTGATTTTATACCAACACACGTTGGCATAAATTAATGCAGGTACGCGTGTAATTATTTCCTTTTTTTTTTTTATTATTCGAATTATAATGACATCCGTATCTTAATCCGTTTTCTTCAATGAGTAAAACTTTCGACGACCAAAAACTATAAATATATATAAATTATTAAATAAAGTTGTGAAATTTTATTTCGCTATTCCAACGAATTAATACTATCTCGGCTGTACAACCACGTACTTATTTATATTTTACAAATCATGTCGTGCCAAAATTTTAAATGCATAATATACGAGTACAGTTATACAAGTCCGAGGTAGTTTCAAAGTGCGGACGTACAAATAAGATATACAAATAAAAACGTAAAATAAATTTATTTTATAAAATAGTCGGCACACTAAATAGCATAAAACAATCGAATTCACTTCATTATTAAATTTTATTGTTCTGTGGCAAAATATTTTATTATAGTATACGTATGTATTATTAACTGCAATAGATGTTACGGAGACGGTAAATGGAGACGGAGTGGCGGCGGTGTATATAAACAATGCCACTTACTGAATTAAAATGAAAGTAGGTTCCTAACTTTATTCATTTTTTGGCAAATAAATACTACAACCACAACGTGAGTGCATTAATAATATATGTAATCGCCAGATTTATCCAATTGACATGCCCGATTTCTCTCCTTAGAATAATTTTACTATTACAGTATTGAGGAATTACAAAAAAAGTAAAAACCGATGGTATAAATATTATATATATTTTCGAAGTTTTATATTTTTCATATTTCCTGTACATGTACATAGGTCGTAATAGCTCAAATTCATGTTTGAGATCTGTACACGATAACTGTTTATTTTTTTCACTTTCGCATCGATTTAATGTCTATAGCCGAATATAATATTTCCTTACAGTTTACACGTTAGCCGTAGAACAATCAAATAACTACGCGTATGGGTGTAATGTAACACGAGT